ACTCGTGATAACGTACCCTCGGAAGAAGAATGTGTGTTTGTTTTTAGTGGTGGTTTGAAAGAAAAATAATTAAAAACACAAGACAAAATCAAATGGGAAATTGGGAACACAACATGACTTAAACGTAGATTGCATCCAAGTGTACCGTCTTCAATGAGGCATCACGGCATTTGCCGAAGAATAGAGAAAAAACTGGCGAGATCATTAGACAAAGCGACTTTTTATATTTACCATAAATGTTCTATATCTTGGACCAACAATTGCACAACCCAATATCTTTGAAAGACAGTGATCATATACTATAATATAATTAACAAGAACAATATAATCACATCAACCATAACTACCTCGAGATATTGTCTCATTCATTGTTTTACTACATAAAAGTCGAAAAGATTAACATATAAAGAACTCCAATGACAGCTGACAATTAAAAAAATAAAATAAAGTATCATATCAAATGACAGTTAAAACTAGCAGATGAACTCCAATAAATATATGGAGGTAAGGTAAACACCTCATAAAATATTGATCACTATACAAATAATTGAATTTGGCAACGTCCTAGTTACAAATTTGGGTAAAACCTAGTAATTGAATTTGCCATATACTACTCGAACATAAGACCCTTGGGTATAGCTAGAATGTGGGATGAAGTATGGAAATAGGGTGAACTGGAATCGTTCCATTAAGGTTAGAACCGGAAATTCCCAGGTCCAGGTCCGATTCTTGCAATGTGTTGGTAGTGGAAAGAAACCAAAACCAAGGTCAATACCCAGGTAGGAATCGAGACTGAATGTTTTGCAAACTGTACAAGTGTATTGTCATTTTTTTTAAAAGCTACGGGTAATGCAATTAATAGGTACTTGGACTTAATTTCAGGTTTCGGTTCCAAGTTTCAGGAAACCAGAGCCACCTGATTCCGATTCTGATTTTGGTTCTGGTTTCTTAAAAAAATGAGGTATCCGAAACTGATCACCTAGCTAACCTCAATTGTTAAGGGCTTGCCACCGAGGGAGAGGTTAGTACTAGTACTATTTGTATTGTAAGTCTTATCCTTTCAATCCTTGATGAATTAGTCATGATGTGACAATTATAAAGCTACACATATTAGTCAACTGTAATGATGAGTTAAAAATAAATAAATAAAAGAAGGAAAATTGTTTCGCTTCGCTCCTTTTTTTTTTTTTTTTTTTTTTTTTTTTTGGTGTTTTGGATTTTAGTCTGCTGTAAAGTCCAAAAAACTTTTGGAGAACAAGGTCCAAATACACTCTTTGGGCTAATATCAATTTAGGCCCAATTATACTCCTAGATCCAATGGCCTTAAACGGGTCCAGGCCTAATTAATTAGATCCGACTAAATCATCGATCTTTTCTCTACTGATTACTGATTTCTCAGCTCCAACTCTCTCACTTTCTCGCTTTAGTTCTTGTTGGATCTTCGCTGCAATTTAGAGAAACAGAGAGAAAATCTCAAGGAAAGATGACGGTATTTCACTTTTTCAACTGTGCGATTCTTACTTTCGGTCCTCACGCCGTCTACTACTCCGCAACGCCATTGTACGTTTTCTTTTTACTTCCTTTCCATTGCTTTTCCAGTTCCAGTTTTTGTTTTTTGGATTTCTTTTTTTATTTGTAAACTTTATTTTCTAGCTAATTTTATTCATACGTGTAGATCTGAGTATGACACACTTGGTACTTCTGTTAAAGCCGCTCTTGTTTATCTCGGAACAGCTTTGGTTAAGGTTAGTTCATTAATTAAATTGATTTATTTTAGTTAAGCTATGCCTTAACTAAAACTAACTGACATGCTTGATGGCAGCTTGTTTGTTTGGCGACGTTTCTTAAGGTATCAGAGAATGACAACTTTGACCCATATCAGGTATTGCTATTATTTCATCTTCAATTGTCTGATTTTTATTTATTGAAAAATAATAGAAAAGAAGTCGTTATATGAATTTTATGAATAGATTTTGTGATCTCAATTTCCTGGCGGACTTATTTGTTTCCTGCTGTTCCATTTGAACCTAGTTAGTTTATGCTATGTTGAAGCGAAGGTGTTCTCCAATACAAAAAATTGACAAGTTGTTTCATGAATATCCTTACCCAGTTTAACTTGGTTGCAAAAATTTACTGTCAATATTTCTCTATTATTCATAGAATTGGGCATGCTGGTCCTTTTGGTTGGGCGTTTACAATGAATGTTAAAGCTGATTTCCAAGGGTGCATGGCATGTGAACTAAATGTTAAATAAAAAGACAATCGTTTACGTCTCTTATTCCTTCTGAGTATATCTTGAATCCTAACTAGCGACTTTGTGACATCAGTTGGTTTAGATCAGTACCTCAATATCTACTTTTTAAGTGATATTTAGGAGTACAGAGATTATGAACATGTGGCATAAGTTTGATAAGATTATGAGTTGGTGTTTCTGGACTGCAACATATGCTTGACCTTGAAAGTCCACAACATTTAAAAGGAAGTAGTAAATCCATGCAACATTAGCATTTGGTAGCTCTATAGGTAGTCTGAATTAAAGAGGTTTCATGTGTACCGAGATATGCTTGTTTTTTTTTCTGGTGGATTACTTGCGCTGATTTGATCATCATAAAAATGTGAGGCATTTATCCGCAGGAACTGTTGAAAGCACTGATCGGTTTTATAGATGTCGCTGGGCTTTACTTTGCCTTGACCCAGTTGACTCACAGGAACATCTCTCAGAATCATAAATTTCAAGCTGTTGGGCTTGGTGAGTAAAACTTTGTTCAGTCACATTTTGTTTATATATAAAAATTTTATGTTCTCTCTCTTTGTAATACCAGAAAAAAAAAAGTTAAATAATTATTAATATATTATCTGCTATTTATGATATATATTCATGAAGGCACTGCTTTAAGAATTTCTATTGTGCTCTCTTTTTGCTCTATAGTCAGGGAAATGGTATAAATCAACAAGATCAGTTTCACAAGTTTTTGTTTCCTAATACTTTAACTTACATCTTTTAAGCAACTAAAAGGAAAATAATACCCAAAAGAGAGAGAGGGAGAAAATGATAGAGGAGAGAAATGATCGAGCAAGGAAGCTTAGTTCTCCTAAGCATGTATACCTTTCATAATTTCATCAAAATTTTGATGCACACTATGGGTAATAAAAAAGACTGCTGGTTGTATTCACTGATATATTATGTTATGTACTGACTTCATTATCTATATTGTCCTTTCTTAAACATGATCTGTATTGGAGATGCTAAATTGTAAGTGCATGTCCTTTAAGTTTGTGATAGAAGTAAACTGTTTAGAAGCCAGAAATGGTGACATGTTGCATCTGTATACCTTATGTCTTTAAGTGTATGGACTTCTTAAACCATCTGTATAACCTTCAATGACATTATTGAACTTTCTTTCCCCTTGTTGACAGGGTGGGCTTTTGCGGATTCTGTACTACATAGATTGGCACCACTTTGGGTGGGTGCTAGAGGACTGGAGTTTACTTGGGATTACATTTTGCAAGGCCTGGAGGCTAATGCAAATTTGGTATGTTTATATCTTTGATGGATAGAAGTTCCATTCATTCACTGATCTTATAGCATGGAAATTTTAGCAATACTTTAGTAGGTCAATTTGTTCCGTGGAATTTTGGGTTTGTACTCTAAAGTGAAACATCTTGTCATGGCTTCTGTATTCAGGTGTTGAGCATATCCCTTGCTGCATTAGGATCTTTGATGTGGCTTCGCAAGAACAAACCCAAGACTTTAATTCCTATAATATATGCATGTGCAGGAATTGTAGCAACCATGCCATCCATTACAAGGTCATCTTCTTTTCAACCTTCTTCACAAAATTATAACTTACATCAGAACAAAAGTTGATCTTATTTTACTTCTCTAAGATTTGAGTTTTGTAGGGACACATTGAAATGGATAATATTACTTATAGTCAATCAACTTTGAAATATAGGAACTCGAAGGGCCTTATGTTATGTAAGGTCTCTTAGATTAAATTATTTCTGTAACTTTTAGCCAGGCTTCGTTACCTTCATCAGATTGTTATCAGTATGTCTTATCATGTGATTTATGAGATCCTCACTAGCTAATGCATTTTGTAATAGTATCCATCTTTACTTCTGTTGTACTGATAAATGCCTTTTGTAGCTATCTGAGGCGAGGATTGGGATGGCAATTCCCAAAGGTGGTAGGCTTTGAACTTTTTACCTCTTTGATGATGGCTTTCATTAGTTGGCAACTTTTTGCTGCATGTCAGAGACCATCTACCTAAGGTAGCCCACCATTTTCTTCTGAGGCAATATTCTTGCGGCAGCTTGATTCTCTTTCAGAGGGCCTATTCCAATCAATGTTTCCCTTGTGACGGCAATGCCTTTTGCTTTAATTTCACATTAATGTTCTAGTTTGTGGTGTATCTAATTAATTTTGATCTAAATCTTCTTAATTACCAACTCAGATAGAAATTTCATTGATGTAACCCAATAGTTAAATTCATGAAAATTTTGGACAGGCCTTGCCTTACAAGCACCTGTTGTCTCGTTGGATCCCCGAGTTTCTTAATTAAGCTTGATGTTTTCGGGGCTCTTCATGAAAAAGAGTTTACGAACAGGCAGGTTTTTGTCTTTATCTTATACATATGTAAAAAAACCGGAGTGGACTAAAGAAACCTGCCGACCTTTTTGGTTTTTCGTCACTGGTCTGTTTAGTTGAGTTTGAGTTCGTTCATGCGATGATGGCATTTGAAATTTATAACTCTCTTGGGACTCTTCTCTTTTTATATGATTAGAATCTTGAAATTAACATGTAAAATAAACAAATTGCAATCATAATGGCACCTATACTTCTTATGGCCTTAAATTGTTGATCAGAATTTGAATTTGTTCGAGAAGTGGGTGTTTAATTGGTTGAATTGTCGTTGATGGCTTGACGCTACCTTCGCTTCTTTTCTCGTTTATTCCTTATGGAATTTGGCAGAGTTGCAATCCAACAACAAGGGTAATGAATGTGTAAACTAAAGATTAAATTTATTGCGAAAAATTACAAAGAGTTTTCCTGCAAACTTTGATTTTACAGCAAAACAAATCAATTAAACATTAGGTAGAGAAGAATATTTGTCACTCAGATTCAGATTCTTCTAACCATGCTTCAATTCGCAGAAGAACAAAGCCAACTGCAACCCCAACTAGAACAAGTCCATTCATGATGGCAGCAATCTTGAATATCTCAGACGCAGCATCGCATGTAGAAGAAAGTGCACCACCACCACTTCTTTTGGATGTTGTCTTGAGTGAGCTCACAACATTTGCGAAGCACTGCTCAGTGCATGGTGGTAGGCCGAGAGAGACCACCTTGTTGTGTGCTTTAAGACCTCCATAGGAATTCAATCCATTCAGATACACCACCTTCTTCATTCTCTTCGGGGTTCTGCTACCGCACCTTATCAAGGCACCGGTGACTGTTGCTGGAGCAAGAACTGCTGATGTTGCCATCTTCGTTATGCCCACAATCTGCAAACTCAAAATTCCATATACAAAACTATGTATCAATAAAATACATGTTAATTAGACCAAGTTAAATATTGAAAATAAGATAAAAGAGTTATGAATTGATTACCTGTCGCGTAGATTGAATAGTTGCAGCCAAGGGCAGAGCGTACAAAGGATAACTTAGAGATATGGGTTTGGACTTTGGATAAGGTAAGACTAGCTATGGTTGGTTGACAAAGCTTTACTTTAGAAAAAAGGCAAGCTTGTAAAAATAAAAGGTTACTATTACAAAAAGGTAAAGACACTTGAAAGAAGCTGGATCATGCTGCTCGGTTAATTAACCCCAATTCATTTATGACGATAATAACGTTAATTATTATATGCAACATTATACAATTAGATTTAAAATTAATTAAAGTAATCAATTGTAAACAAATTGACTTTGCATCCTAGGTTTAAGTTAGTAAAGTAGTTGCGGCGTCAATAACTTAAATTCAATAACAGTCTAGTTGATTATATGTGGAGGACAACATGGACTGATACAAAGCTTTCGAGGGATATCTGAAGTTGAACACTGATAGACCATCCATCACAAAACGTTACACCAAGCGAGGGAGAAGGCCCACATGGAGTGATAAAGCCACGTTACACCAAGCAAGGGAGAAGATCCACATGGAGTGATAAAGCGAACAAGAATTAGTTAGTGGAGAGGCACACGTGTCATGTTGTTAGATGATTAGGGGAGTGCCAAAAAGTGCTTATGAGGGAGAATATTTGCATGAGTCATTCATTCGGTTATTTTGTAAGGGATTAGTCTGGGAGGTTGCTAGCTCCTCGAACTGCTAGCTGGTGCTTATTTCCATTTCTGTATTTCTTATGTTTTTCAGTTCTTTGAGTATTCTACTTCAGTTTTATCAATATATTTCAGCTCTTATATTCTACTTAATTATGGTGACTAAGTTCATTGAATTGTGAGTGTTTAAATTGCTGGAAGTGTGATTGAAACCAAGGTCTGTATCAAATTAGTATCAGAGCCTAGCTGGATAATGGTCAAACCTAAGATGGAAAATAGAATAGATAATGTGGAAAAGGAAATTAAATCGGTGAAGGAGGATATGACTTCCATGAAGGTTGATTTGGGTGGTGTTAAAGAGGGCTTGATTAAAATAAGGGAATTAATGCGGCTAAAAGAAGAGAGGGAGGAAAGACGCTCACGGGAAAAGGAAAAAATGTTGGAATCAGAAAATCAAAGCAGTCACGAAAATAGGGAGGAAGAACGTTACCAAAGTAGTGAATCAAAGAAAGAAGACAAGAAGGTCAGGAAATTGGAGCTGCCTATTTTCAATGGTGACGAGTCGTTTGGGTGGACTTTCAAAGCTGATAGGTACTTCGCTATCAACTGATACGAAGAATCGGAAAAGATGGAAGCAACCGCTGTGTGGAGGGGAAGGCTTTAAATTGGTTCCAATGGGTGGAAGCTAAAGCACCAATTCAGTCCTGGAGGGAATTTAAAACAACACTTATTACCAGATTTCGACCCTCTTTCCAGGGAACAGCTTATGAAGCGTTGGCTGCCTTGAAGCAAACAACCACGGTGACAGAATATAGGGAGGAATTTGAAGCTTTTTCTGCACCTTTGAAAGATCTGGGAGAAGAGATGCTTATGGGACTTTTTGTGAATGGGCTGAAAGAAGATGTGAAGGCTGAGTTGCGTTTAATGAGGCCCAGTAGCATAAGTGAAGTAATTGAGCAAGCCCATAGGGTAGAACAAAGAAATTGGATTTTAGAAAAAGGAAGGCCCAAAGTAGCTAAAGTTCAAAATGGGAGAGAAATGTATAATCGGGTCTCTACTAACCCAAAAAATGCGCGACCTAGATGGTGGACGACGCATTCCAAAACGCTAGAATCGCACTTCTCCTCCAACGTTAGGGCACCCACAAAGAGGGAGAGGCCACCGAAAACAGCAGCGACGAGCTTCAGGGGTGATAATTTTCGTCAACTTTCAAAATCTAAGATCCAACATAAGAGAGAGCGTGGGTTGTGCTTTAGATGTGACGAAAAATACAGTCCAACCCATAAATGCAGGAGTAAGTCGCTACAAATCCTTCTTGCATGGGATGATGACGAGGTGAAAGAAGACATACCTGATCAAATCGACGATGAGGAAGCCATTACAAAAGGTAACCCACTTGCCATTTCAATGAACTCCATTATTGGTATTACTACATATAAGACGTTGAAGATTAGAGGAAGAATTGGTAAGGAGGAGGTGATCGTGTTGGTTGACAGTGGGGCGTCACACAACTTCATCTCGCAGGAGTTGGTTAACAAATTGGGTATTTCGGTTGAGAAGGGTAAGACTTTTGGAGTGATGGTGGGGAACGGAGTGACAGTAAGGGGCGAGGGAATATGCACAGGGGTTAAACTAGAGATACAAGGAATTAGGATACAACATGACTATTTTCCATTTGATTTAGGAGGAGCAAATGTGGTACTTGGTGTATCTTGGTTGAGCTCTCTGGGGGACGTCTGTGCAAATTGGAAAAAATTAACCATGGTTTTTGAGGTGGAAGGGAGACGTGTGATGTTACAGGGAGACCCTTCACTGGTGAAAAATGTTGTATCTCTTAAGGCCATGTTGAAAACAATTCAAGCAGCAGGGAATGGGTTGATTGAGAATAAACCAGAAGTCAAGGAGGCATCGCAGGAACCAAGAGTGGCTAGAGTCCTGGAGGAGTTTCTACAATTGTTTGACCAACCATCTGACATACCCTCCCATAGACAACATGATCATGCCATAGTGCTGAAGGAATGAACATAGGCCCCGAATATTAGACCGTATAGATACTCGTATTTTCAAAAAAAAATAGATTGAGAGGCTGGTTGGTGAGATGTTGGTTGCTGGAATCATCCAACCCAGCACCAGCCCTTTTGCAAGTCCAGTGTTATTGGTTAAGAAGAAGGATGGCAGTTGGAGGTTTTGTGTTGACTATAGGTCCCTCAATAGTATCACCATACCCGATAAATTTCCCATACCAACCATCGATGAACTATTAGATGAGTTAGCCGGAGTCACAATTTTTTTCAAACTGGATTTAAAATCAGGGTACCATCAGATTAGAATGAAGGAAGAGGATGTACCAAAAGCAGCCTTTAGGACTCATGAGGGTCACTATGAATTTTTAGTGATGCCCTTTGGTTTAACTAATGCCCCATCCACATTCCAAGTCCTCATGAACACCATATTTAAACCTGTCCTCCGAAAATTTGTCTTAGTTTTCTTTGACGACATTTTGATCTACAGCCCAGACTTAGAAAGCCATATACAGCACCTAACCCAAGCCTTTAAAATTCTGCAGGCTCATGAATTGGTAGTCAACTGAAAAAAAATGCTCGTTTAGGCAGAAGAAGCTAGAATATTTAGGTCACTTGGTGTCCAAAAAGGGAGTGGAGGCAGACCTGAAAAAACTAGAAGCTATGAAATCATGGCCCATCCCGACTTCCGTTAAAAGTTTGAGGGGATTTTTAGGACTCATTGACTATTACAGGCGGTTTGTGCAAGGGTATGGGAACATAGCACTATCCTTAACTCAATTACTTAGGAAGGATGCTTTTAAATGGACAGAAGAGGCCCAACAAGCTTTTGAGCAACTAAAATCGGCCATGACTACTGTTTCGGTATTAACAGCCCCCAATTTCAACATCNCCATTTATGATGAATCACATGGACATTTAAAATGTAGTCAATGACTTATCATAAGATCATACTAGTGTATTATTAATCCTTAGACCTGAGATATCACGGTTGGATTCTGTATAAACGCATATGGTTCATATGGTGTATAAACACGAGGCTAATCATGCCATGTGTTAATAAGCCAATTTGGCCATGTGTTGTTTATGTGTGAGGACAAGTGATAGTCAAGATGGGATTCGTTGACTTGGTATAGATTAATATCAAGTTCCTAGACAAATGTCAAGATACATTGGAAAAGGGAAATCTCCGACCAGGGTATATAAAATGTTACATGAAAGGTTGTTTCGTGGTGACACATTCTATATGTATTGAATTAAAATTAAGATAAGGATTTTGACATGCCATAAATTCATTCTTAATTGGGATTAGACAACGAAATGATTTGATTATACAATGTATATGATTGTAAAAGGTTTGTTGGAGTGTATCTTCATTGTGACTTAGGGGTTATGGAGCATTGCTAGATGCCTACCATGATCAGTGAGAGTTTTGTTTATAAAGAGTTATGACAAAACATATCGAAATAGATTGTAATATTGGGCCCACAACTAGGCCATAGTGAACCTAAGAGGTCACACATAAAAACTAAGGAGAATAGAGAAATAGCCAAAGAGAGTTGATTATCCAAGGTTGGCTAGCACCTACCAAGGATAATAAAGTTATTTATATTAATCGTTTTATTTATATTAAATTGGATTTTATAAGGGGTTGTAATTGTAAACAATTAAGGGTTAAATTGTTATATAAACAATTAAGGGTTAAGAGTTAAATTGATAATTGTACATAATTAAAGGTTAAGAGTTAAATTGTTAATTGTGATTCAATGTTAATCCAATGTTATAATTTAAAGAAGTTTAACAATTTCATAACAATTATGGAATTGTTTAAGGAAGTTTAAAACAATTATTGAATTGTCTACAAGGATTCCTATATAAAGAAAATGATATATCAATTTTTGTGTAGAGATCAAAATCTCTAAGAACCCTAAATCTCTCTCTTGGCCAAATTTCTTCTTCCCTTGGTGTGGATACTCTTTTGCTTAATTTCTCTTGAAATTAAGAGTCTCCAAGGTTGCTAAGGGCTCAAGGTAATATGTTCTACCTTACTTATTTCAATTTGATTGAATTTTTTTTATTTTTAAATTATGACTATTCTTGTTATAGTATGATATGCTTGATTCTCCATGCGTCCATCTTTCAACCATCAGATTAGAATGAAAGAAGAGGATGTACCAAAAATAGCCTTTAGGACTCTTGAGGGTCACTATGAATTTTTAGTGATGCCCTTTGGTTTAACTAATACCCCATCCACATTACAAGCCCTCGTGAACACCATATTTAAACCTGTCCTCCGAAAATTTGTCTTAGTTTTCTTTGACGACATTCTGATCTACAACCTAGACTTAGAAAGCCACATACAGCACCTATCCCAAGCTTTTAAAATTCTATAGGCTCATGAATTGGTAGTCAACCAAAAAAAATGCTCGTTTGGGCAGAAGAAGCTAGAATAT